CTTGGTAAGGTTTATTCCTAGGTACTTTATTTTTCTTATTTATATTGCACATAATTTTTTTCCTGATTTCTGATTCTGATATTTCATTGTTGGTGTAAGAAATGCCTTCAATTTCTGAATATTGACTTCGTATCTTGCTGTTTTGAAAAATTCACTTATTAGGTCCAATATTTTTGGTAGAGTCTATAGGGTTTTCTATGTACACTGTCATGTTATCTGCAAACAGTGACAGTTTTGCTTCCTACTTTACAATTTGGATGCCTTTTATTTGTGGGTTTTTTTTTTACCACTGTGGGTATGACTTCCAATACTATGTTGAATAGAAGTGGGGAATTTTAGTTTTTGCCCATTGAGTATGATGTTGGCTGAAGGTTTCTCATATATCACCTTTATTATGTTGAGCCTCCCTCTACTCCCACTTTTTAAGGTATTTTATCATAAATGAGTGCTGTAACTTATCTAATGCTTTTTCTGCATCTATTGGTATGATCATGTGATTTTTGTTTTTCCTTTTGTGTCTGGAATATATTACATTTATTGACGTGTGAATATTGTACCAGCCTTGCATCTCTGGGATGAATCCCACTTAATCATGGTGTATAATCTATTTGATGTATTGCCAGATGTGGTTTGCCAACATTTTTTGAAAATTTTAGTGCCTGTTTATATTGGCCTATATTTTCTTACTTTGTTGTGCCTTTATCTGGTTTTGGAATTAGTTTGTTGCTGGCTTTGTAAAAAGAGTTCAGGAGTATTCCCTCTTCTTGAAATTTTTGTGGTAGTCTGAGAAGGATAAGGGTTAGCTAATCATAAAATCCTCCTGTGAAATTGTCCAATCCAGGGCTTTTGTGTACTTAAAGATTTTTTATTACTGCTTGAATTTCACCAGCTATTATCAGTCTGTTCAGGTTTTCTGCTTCTTTATTCAATTTTTTGAATTTATATTTTTTCTAGAAATTTGTCCATTTCACATAGGTTTTCAAATTTCTTAGCACGTAGTTGATTGTAGTAATTTCTTACAATCCTTTGTATTTCTCTGGCATCAGTTATAATCTCTAATTACTTTTTTAAATACATTTTATTGATTATGCTATTACAGTTGTCCCACTCCCCCCTTCATTCCCCTCCACCCTGCACACCCCCTCCCCTACCATTCTCCCCCTTTAGTTTATGTCCATGTGTCACAAGTTCTTTAGATTCTACATTTCCCATACTATTCTTACCCTCCCCACATCTATTTTCTACCTACCATCTATGCTACTTATTCTCTGTACCTTCTCCCCTCTTCTCCTTCTCCCACTCCCCTGTTGCTAACCCTCCATGTGATCTCCATTTCTATGGTTCCATTCCTGATCTAACTGTCCTCTTAGTTTGCTTTTGTTTTAGGTATGGTTGTTAATAACTGTGAGTTGGTTGTCCTTTCACTGTTCATATTTTAATCTTTTTCTTAGATAAGTCCCTTTAACATTTCATATAATAAGGGCTTGGTGATGATGAACTTCTTGAATTTGACCTTATCTGAGAAGCACTTTATCTGTCCTTCCATTCTAAATGAAAGCTTTGCTGGATAGAGCAATCTTGGTTGTAGGTCTTTGGATTTCATGACTTGGAATACTTTTTTCCAGCCCCTTCTTGTCTGCAAGGTCTCTTTTGAGAAATCCACTGACAGTCTGATGGGGACTCCTTTGTAGGTGACTGTCCCCTTATCTCTTGCTGCTTCTAGAATTCTCTCCTTCATTTGAATCTTGGCTAATGTAATTATGATGTGCCTTGGTGTGTTCCTTCTTGGGTCCAACTTCTTTGGGACTCTCTGAGCTTCCTGGATTTCCTGGGAGTCTATTTCCTTTGCCAGATTGGGGAAGTTCTCCTTTATTATTTGTTCAAATAAGTTTTCCACTTGCTCTTTCTCTTCCCCTTCTGGTACCCCTATAATTCAGATGTTGGAGCATTTAAAGATGTCCTGGAGGTTCCTAAGCCTCTCCTCATTTTATTTAATTTTTGTTTCTTCACATTTTTCTGTTTGGTCATTTTTTTTCTTCCTTTTGGTCTACTCCCTTGATTCGAGCCCCAGTTTCCTTTCCATTACTATTTGTTTCCTGTGCATTTTCTTCATTTCAATTAGTTTAGCCTTCATTTATTCCTCTAATTTGTGACTAAAATCAACCAGTTCTGTAAGCATCCTGATCACCAGTGTTTTGGACTGTGCATCGGATAAATTGACTATCTCCTGATGGCTCAGAAGTATTGGCTCTGGGGATTTGAGCTGTTTATCTTGAGCTGAAATGTCTTGGTTTCTTCGCACCTGTTAGGTATGAGGGGCAGAGCCTGAGATGTTCTTTAGGGCAGGGCGACCCAGTGGCTGGGTTGTGACACTGTATGTGGGGGCGGGGTCAGAGAGGGACAATGGCTCCTGTTCCATGCTCTCTCTCGGATTTCGGTCCCCTCTGCTGCTTCCCACAAGCAAATTGGGCCCTTCTGTTGCTGGTTCCCAGGTGTGTGGGCCTGTGTACCCTCCAGAACCCCAATGGGTTTCGCCAACAAACTCTCTGTGAGCCTGGGAGCCTCCCCTGGAACCTCAACCCTCGCAAGTTTTTTCAATTGGTGCTTTTAGGCTTTAATTCTCGGCACTGGGGTCCTGGTTTGTGCAGTCTGTCTCACTGCTCGCCCCTTTGCCAGGTTTATCTGAATGTGAATGTGTGATTGTTCTCAGCCAGCCACCTTTCGCCCTCACTGGGTCTGCCCATCGCTACCCCACATCTGGGATCTGCCAACTGTGGCCTGCCTGCACAACCCCACTCAACCAGCCGCTAACTCCATCCCTCTTACCAGTCTGGCTGAATAGTTCATTGTTGTCAGATGTCTGTACAGTTCAATTTTCTGTGTCTTGGTTGCATTTTTGTTACTAAAACTTTGTTGTCTTTAAACTTGGTTGTGCAAGGAGACAGAGTGTTTCCACCTACACCATCTTGGTTGGCAGTCTCTCATTTCTGATTTTGTTTATTTAGGTCCTTTCATTTTTTTCTTCATGAGTCTACTTAAAAGCTTGCTGATTTTGTTTATCTTTTCAAAGAGACAGCTCCTGAATTTATTGATCTTTTTAATTGTTCTTTAACTCTCTATGTCATTTAATTCTGCTCTGATCCTGGTTATTTCTTTCCTCCTACTTGCTCTAGGCTTTGTTGTTGTTCCCCCACTTCTTGTAGATGAATATTGTGTATTTGAAATGTTTCTATCTTCTTTTAGGTAGGCCTGAAATACTATGTACTTCCCTCTCAACACTGCCTTTACTATTTTCCATATGTTTTGGACTATTTTGAGTTCATTTTTATTTGTTTCCGGGAATTTATTTGATTTCTTTTTTTTTAAACAATTTATTTGATTTCTTTTTTTTAAAACAACATTATTTTAATATTTTTTTAATAATTTTATTTAGTTATTTTTCAAGTACAGTTTTTTGTCTATTTTTCCCATCTCAGCCTCCCCCGCCCCTTGCTCGCCACCTCCCTCCCATTTCCACCCCCCTTAGTTCTTGTCCCTGTGTCCTTCCTATTTGTTCCTCCAAGTCCCTCCCCCATTTTCCCCTTAACTTCCCTTCCTTCTCCCCTCTGGTCACTATCCCTTGTTCTCTATTTCAGTGTCTTTGTTTTTTGTTTGTTTTTTTTCTGCTTCTTTGTTTGTTTTGTTGTTTAGCTTCCTGTTAAAGGTGAGATCATATGGTATTTGTCTTTCAACCCCTGGCTTATTTCACTCAGCATAATGCTTTCCAGTTCCATCCATGTTGTTGCAAAGGGTAGTAGCTCCTTCTTTCTCTCAGCAGCATAGAATTCCATTGTGTATATGTACCACAATTTTTGGATCCATTCATTTACTGATGGGCACCTAGGTTGCTTCCAACTCTTGCCTATTGTAAATTGTGCTGCTATGAACATTGTGGTGCATAGGTTCTTTGATATTGATGTTTTAGGATTCTTAGGATATAATCCCAGCAGTGGAACTGCTGGGTCAAAAGGCAGGTCGATTTTTATTTTTCTAAGAAAATTGCATACTGTTTTCCATAATGGTTGTACCAGTCTGCAATCCCACCAGCAGTGAACTAAGGACCCCTTTTCCCAAAACCCCTCCAACATTTGTTGTTTGTTGCTTTGTTTATGATAGCCATCCTGACTGGTGTAAAGTGGTATCTCATTGTGGTTTTAATTTGCATCTCTCTGATAGCTAACGATATTGAGCATCTCTTCATGTGTCTCTGAATGTTCTGTATGTCCTCCTTGGAGAAGTGTTTGCTCAAGTCCTTTTCCCATTTTCTAATTGGGTTGGGTGTCTTCTTAGAGTGGAGTCGTGTAAGTTCTTTGTATATTTTGGAGACTAAAGCTTTGTCTGAGGTATCATTGGCAAATATGTTTTCCCATACAGTTGGTTGTCTTGCTAATTTAATACTGTTTTCTTTAGCCATGCAGAAGCTTTATATTTTGATGAGATTCCATTTGTTTATTCTTTCCTTTACATTCCTTACTCTAGGGGACATATCAGTAAAGAAGTTACTGCGTGAAATATCTGAGATTTTCTTGCCAATGTTCTCCTCTAGGACTTTAATGGTGTTATGACTTACATTTAAGTCTTTTATCCACCTTGAATTTATTTTGGTGTATGGTGTAAGTCTGTGCTCAAGTTTCATTTTTTTGCATGGAGCTGTCCAGTTCTCCCAACACCATTTGTTGAAGAGGCTATCTTTAACCCATTTTGTGTTACTGCCCCCTTTGTCGAATATTAATTGTCTGTAGAGAGTTGGGTTGATTTCTGGGCTCTCTGTTCTGTTCCATTGGTCTATGTGCCTGTTTTTATGCCAGTACCAGGCTGTTTTGATTACAGTGGCCTTGTAATACAGTTTAATATCAGGTATTGTGATCCCCCCTACTTTGTTCTTCCTTCTCAAAAGAGCAGCTGCTATTCGGGCTCCTTTATGGTTCCATATAAATTTTCTTTTTTTTTTTCGGCTCAAATAATGTCTTTATTAACACACAAATCAGAGTAACATGAGGCAAGTAGTTCTTCAGGCTGAGTAGCTTGGAAGTCTGGAAAAATCCATCAACACTATCACGAGACAAACAATGTCCATGAGGGAAATAAACCTTTCATGCTACCAGAACACATCTCAGGTCCTCTTCGATAAACACAGGTCATGTCCACACCTTTCCCAGTCAGCAAGGAGAAAATGAGTCCCCTCCCTCACTTAACTCAGGTTTATTCTAATTCCCCCAGAGATTGGAGACAGTAACAAAGTTCTGCCTTCTCTGAGGATATCAGGACAACTTAGTTGATAGAGCTGAAACGTTTCCCACCAGACACGGACACTCAGAAATCTGGCAAGGAGCCTGAGCAGGTCTGAAAGTGCAATATAGCCTCTGAAAACTTTCCTTGTACCCATCAGTTATATAGTATCTCCCCAGTGTTAATGTTCAGATATATGAAGGTCAACATCTGACTAAAGTCTTCCTCTCAAAGAGAAATCAGAGCCCCTTTCCAAATGAGTGCTGTTCTGTTGACAGAATTCCTAAAGCCTTCCTGCAGTGTGAACTTTCTGGTGCCGAATGAGGTGGGAGCTTAAGCTATAAGATTTCCCACATTCATTGCACTCGTATGGCCTTTCTCCAGTATGAACTTTTTGGTGCCGAACAAGATGGGAGGTTCTTATGAAATCTTTCCCACATTTGCTGCACACAAAAGGCCTTTCACCAGTGTGCACTCTCTGGTGTGCAATAAAGTCAGAGCTTCGACTAAAAAAGTTCCCACATTCAATGCACTCAAAAGGCCTTATCTCAGTGTGAATTCTCTGGTGTTTAATGAGGGTGTACTTGTGGCCAAAGAATTTTCCACAATCACTGCAAACATATGGGTTTTCTCCAGTATGGATGCTCTCATGCTGAACAAGTGTAGATTTGTGTCTGAAGACTTTCCCACAATCATTGCACTTATAAGGCCTTGCTCCATTGTGAACTCTCTGGTGCACAATCAGATTGGAATGATGGCTAAAATATTTTCCACATTCACCACACTTATAAGGCATTTCTCCAGTGTGAATTCTTTTGTGCTGTGTAAGGTTGTCTTTGCGGCTAAAGGATTTCCCACACTCGCTACACTCATAAGGCCTCTCTCCAGTGTGGATTCTCTGGTGCTGAACAAGTGTGTCTTTGCGGCTGAAGGCTTTCCCACATTCGCTGCAGCTGTAAGGCATCTGTCCAATGTGAAAGGCCTCCCCACCCTCATTGCCACTTGTCTTCCTCTTGCTTCGGGTTGCCTTTTGCTGGTGACTGCCCAAACAGGCCTGGAAGTTTTTCTGTTCTTCCTCACATGTATATGATTTCTCTGACAGATGAGGTTCTTCACAAACTCTGCAGTTCTTCAAGAATGAGGTCTTGCCTTTGTCTCTCCTTAAGGATCTCTCTACATTGTACTGCTTCTGGTGCTGAAGGAAGTTTGTACCAAATGAGAACCGTCTCCCGCATGCCTCACATGTGTAAGGTTTCAGTCCATGGTGTGTTTCCTGGTGTTCATGCAGGCACAAAACATCTTTCAAGATAGGGCCACATATATTACAAGGATGAGCCATCTGGACTGATGAACCTGCCTCGGAAGTATTATGAAGATGTGACACTTCCCCAGACTTGCTCTGCTCAGATGCTGCCTCTTCATCCTTCACTCCAAGCCAACAACCAGGGCCCATCCAAGCCCCCTCTGCTGTGGCTAGATTCATGACCTCTCAGTTGGGTACTCAAGAGTTCTTTCCCTGGCTACTATTCAGCAACCACAGATGATCTAGGCAGGGCCCATCCCCCGCAGCCGCCGCCATCGCGGCCTAGACAGCTCAGAGCCATGAGGATTCTGAGTCTCCGCGGTCGCTGCCACTGCAGAGCCTCTTCCTAGCGACAACGGGGTCTCTCCCCGCTTTCGTCAATCGAACTGCAGCTTACTGACCGTGCCATCCTAGAGCCAAAAGCGGTTCCATATAAATTTTCGAAGTGTTTGTTCTATGTCTGTGAAATATGCCATTGTTACTTTAATAGGTATTGCATTGAATCTGTATATTGCTTTGGGTAGTATGGACATTTTGATGATGTTAATTCTTCCAATCCATGAACAAGGTATATGTTTCCATTTATTTGTGTCTTCCTTGATTTTGTTCTTCAGGGCTGTGTAGTTTTCTGTATACAGGTTTTTTACCTCCTTAGTTAGGTTTATTCCCAGATATTTTATTTTTCTTTTTGCTATATCAAATGGGATTTTTCTCTTTATTTCTGCTTCTGCTGATTCACTGTTGGTATACAAAAATGCCTTTGATTTCTGGATATTGACTTTGTAACCAGCTGTTTTGCCAAACTCATTAATTAGTTTGAGCAGTTTTGGGGTAGAGTCCATAGGATTTTCCATGTACACTATCATGTCATCTGCAAAAGTGACAGTTTTGCTTCCTCCTTTCCTATTTGGATGCCTTTTATTTCCTTTTCTTGCCTGATCGCTGTGGCTAAAACTTCCAATACTATATTGAGTAGAAGTGGTGAAAGTGGACAACCTTGTCTTGTTCCTGATCTTAGTGGAAAAGCTTTTAGTTTTTTCCCATTGAATATGATATTGGCTGTAGGTCTCTCATAAATGGCCTTTATTATTTTGAGAAATGCTCCCTGTATTCCCACTTTGCTGAGTGTTTTTATCATATATGGGTGTTGTGCCTTATCGAAAGTTTTTTCCGCATCTATTGATATGATCATGTGATTTTTGTCTTTGCTTTTGTTTATGTGATGTATTACGTTTACTGATTTGCGAATGTTGAACCATCCTTGCATCCCTGGGATGTATCCTACTTGATCATGGTGTATGATCTTTTTGATATATTGTTGGATGCGATTTGCCAATATTTTGTTGAGGATTTTAGCATCTATGTTCATCAGCAATATTGGCCTGAAGTTTTCTTTCTTTGTTGTGTCTCTATCTGGTTTTGGAATTAAGATGATGCTGGCTTCATATAAAGAATTTGGGAGTTTTCCATCCTTCTGGATTTTTTGAAATAGTCTGTGGAGAATAGGGGTTAGCTCTCCCTTAAATGCTTTGTAGAATTCTCCTGTGAAACCATTTGGTCCAGGGCTTTTGTGGGATGGGAGTTTTTTTATTACCGCTTCAATTTCTTTTGCTGTTATTGGTGTATTTAGATTTTCTGCTTCTTTTTCACTGAGTTTTGGAAGATTGTATTTTTCTAGAAATGTGTCCATTTTCCCTAGGTTTTCAAATTTCTTGGCATACAGTTCTTCATAGTAATTTCTTAAAATCTCTTCTATTTCTGTGGTATCAGTTGTAATCTCTCCTCTTTCATTTCTTATTGTGTTTATTTGTGTCCTCTCTCTTTTTTTCTTGATGAGCCTACTTAAAGGCTTGTCTATTTTGTTTATCTTCTCAAAGAATCAACTCCTGAATTCATTGATCCGTAAAATTGTGCTTTTAATTTCTATGTCATTTAATTCTGCTCTAATCTTGGTTATTTCCTTCCTTCTGCTTTCTCTGGTCTGTCTTTGTTTTTGTTCCTCGAGTTCTTGCAGGCATAGGGTTAGGTTGTTTGTTTGAAATGTTTCTATTTTCTTTAGGTAGGCCTGTATTGCTATAAACTTTCCTCTCAGGACTGCCTTGGCTGTGTCCCATAAGTTTTGGGTTGTTGTGAGATCATTTTCATTTGTTTCCAAAAACTTTTTGATTTCTTCCCTAATTTCATTCTTGACCCATTCCTTGTTTAATAGCATACCATTCAGTCTCCATGATTTTGGGTGTTTTGGGTTTTTTTCTGTGGGGTTGGTTTCTAATTTCAGTCCCTTGTGGTCAGAGAAGATGCTTGGTATGATTTCAATTTTCTTGAATTTTTTGAGGCTTGTTTTGTGTCCCATCATGTGGTCTATCTTTGAAAATGTTCCATGTGCATTTGAAAAGAATGTGTATTTAGCTTCTTTGGGATGAAGGGCTCTATATATATCAGTTAAGTCCATTTCATCTAGGGTGTTGTTTAATGCCACAATATCTTTGTTGATAATTTGTTTGGAAGATTTGTCCATTTTTGATAGTGGGGTGTTCGAATCCCCTACTATGATTGTGTTGCTGTCAATATCTTTCTTGAAGTCCTCTAAGATTTTCTTGATATATTTTGGTGCCCCTATGTTTGGTGCATATATGTTTACAATATTGATGTCTTCTTGGTGGATTCTTCCCTTGAGTATAATGAAATGACCTTCTGGGTCTCTCTTTATAGCCTTTTTTTTGAAGTCTATTTTGTCTGATATGAGAATTGCTACCCCAGCTTTTTTTTCTTGTCCGTTTGCTTGGAAAACTTGTTTCCAGCCTTTCACTTTTAGTCTGTGATGGTCTTTTGTCCTCAGGTGAGTCTCTTGTAGGCAGCATATGTGTGGGTCATGCTTTCTTATCCATTAAGCTATTCTGTGTCTTTTGATTGGAGAATTTAATCCATTTACGTTTAAGGTTATTATTGATAGGTACTTATTCATTGCCACTTTTGTACCTGTGTTCCTCTCTGTCTCCCTCTTATCCTTCCTTCCCTTAAAGCAGTCCTTTTAGTATTTCTTGTAGAGCTGGTTTGGTGGAGGCATATTCTTTTAGACTTCTTTTGTCTTGGAAGCTCTTTATTTGGCCATGTATCTTGATTGAGAGCCTTGCTGGGTAAAGTAGCCTTGGTTGTAGGCCTCTGGTTCTCATTCCTGGGAATATTTCTTGCCATTCTCTTCTTGTTTGAAGTGTTTCCATTGAGAAGTCAGTAGCTAACCTTATTGGGGCTCCCTTGTATGTTATTTCTTTTTTCTCCCTTGCTGCCTTTAAGATTCTCTCTTTGTCTTGGAATTTTGCCATTTTGATGATGATGTGTCTTGAAGTAGGCCTCCTTCGGTTCCTCTTGGTTGGGACTCTCTGTGATTCCTGGATTTGTGAGACTTTTTCTCTTATCAAATTAGGAAAATTTTCTCTCATTACCCGTTGAAACACATTTTCTATCCCTTGTTCTTCTTCTTCTCCTTCTGGTATTCCTATTATTCACATATTATTACGTTTCATATTGTCTTGCATTTCTCTTAATCCCTCTTCATTCTTTCTGAGCCTCTTTTCATTTTCTTGCTCTTTCTGTGAGATGCTTTCTACCTTGTCCTCCAACTCACTAATCCTATCCTCTGCTTCATCTATCCTACTTTGGAAACTTTCTACTGTGTTCTTCAATTTGGAAATTGTATTCTTCATTTCCTCTTGTTTCTTGCTGAGAGTTTCCATTTCCTTTTTGATGTTGCTGTAGTTTGCATAGAGATCATTATAGTTCCCCTGTAGTTTCTGGTAGTTCACTGTGAGCTCTTTGAACTTCGTAACAACCAGTGCTTTGAATTCACTGTCTGATAGTTGATCAGCATCTATTTCATCTAACATTCTTTCTGAAGTTTCTGCTTTTTCTTTCATTTGGGGATTGTTTCTTTGTCTTCTCATTGTTTGAGACTCTTCTTGTTAGTCTCTGCTTCCAAAATTGATCTGTTCTGAAACACTGGTTTTATGGTGTAAACTTCTGTGGTATGATCCTTGTGAAGTTCAGTGGTGCAGACTCCTTGAAGTTTCTTGATGTTCTTAGTCTCCTCCTGCACTGATGCTGGTCCTCGCGCTGGTCCCTGCATTGGTCCCCTATTACTGCTGAATGTCCCGGCTCTAGTAGCCGCCTCCTCAAGCACCCAGGCCCGTTACTACGGCAGTGGCACAGAGGCTGGGAATGTCCCAGCTCCCGTATCTGGCTCTCTCTGCCACCCAGGGCCATCACAGGGGCTAGGAATGTCCCGTTTTCCGTACCTGACTCCCCGGCGTCTAGTCCTGTCTCTATGGCAGTGGCACAGAGGCTTAGAAAGTCCCAACTCCCGTACCTGATTCCCCAGTGTCCAGTCCCTTCGCTATGGCAGCAGAACCGGGGCTGAGACAGTCCCAGTTCCCGTAGAGGGATCCTCTGCCACCCAGGGCTGTCTCAGGGGTTTGGAGTGTCCAGGCTTCCGTACCTGACTCCCCGGGGTCCAGTCCCGTCGCTATGGCAGCAGCACGGGATTTGAGAGCTTCCGGGCTCCCGTAGCTGGCTCCTCTGCTGCGTCACGGGGGTTTGGAGAGTCCCGGCTTCCGTACCTGACTCCCTGGCGTCCAGTCCCGTTGCTATGGCAGTCCCCGAACGTCCCGGCTCCCGTAGCAGGCTCCTCAGGGTCCAGGCCTGTCTCTAGGGCGGCGTCACAGGGGCCTTTGGTGTCCCAGCTCCTGCAACTGACCCTTCCGTTGCCTAGGCCGGTAGTTATGGCATTGGCAGAAGGGTGTCCCCGCTCCGGTTCCTGACTCCTCTGTCTCCCAGAACCATCACAGGGGCTTGGAGTATCCAGCTTCCATACCTGACTCCCCAGCTCCCAGGCCTGTTGCTCTGCAGGCAGCACAGGGGCCGCGTGAGACCCAGCTCCAGTAGCTGACTCTGCCACCGTCTGGTGTTTCAGTGTCGGTCACAATCTCTGGTCTTTTAATTTCATAAATGCTGGGTAACCGATGGTTTATTGTGCTGTTTCTCTGTAGATCTGCCAGGATTTTCACCCATGAGTACAGGAACTAGTATCAGCTCCATCTTACTCCGTCGCCATCTTCCCAGCATCCTCTGATTTCTTTATTAATCTCATTATTAACCAATTCATTGCTTAATAACATGTTTTCCATACTCCATGATTTTGAGTGTTTTTGAGGTTTTTCTTGAGGTTGGTTTCTAGTTTCAGGCTCCTGTAGTTAGAACAAATGCTTGATATGATTTCAGTGTTCTTGAATTTATTGAGGTTTGTTTTGTGTCTTATTATGTGATCTATTTTTGAAAATATTGTGTGCACTTTTAAAAAGAATGTGTATTTTGCTTCTTTGGGATGAAAGGTTCTGTATATATCATTTAAGTCCATTTGAATA